TGACGAGAGAGAGAGAGAGAAAGGGATAGTGAGAAAGCAAGTCACCAGGTCCAGGACTCAGATTGCAGTTAGTCATGTGGGAGTCCAGCACCCCAACCACCATGCCACCTGCTGTCCCCATATTTCATTTATTCTACTTTCTGCAAACCATAACTTCATTTTTATACTTACTGTATTCTGCTAAAATTCATTCTTAATGACTTCTGACTGTACCATAAAATCACAGTCTCCTTAAGAACAAGGTCTGTGTCTCATTCGTTTTGTATTTACAGCATAGTTCCTTCCCCACCGCTTCTTTAGGCCTCTTAAACTTTATCTATAAAAAGTGAGATGGCTGCTCCCCAAATCCAGTCCAAATCAATTTGCCAAATCTTTTTAGCCCAATATGCTGAATCAAGATACAGAATGACCCTCTTCAATCACATTAATTCAAGGGTCTCATTAATATGTGGACACATGAGGAGTAACTTCTTTAGTCCCTTATTAGGAAAAGGCAGAGCTGCCCTGGTGTCGCTACGGAAACTATTGCTGCCTTATTGTTGCCCTCTTCTTTAACATTTTCGAAATGCCTCTTCTTCGTGATGTTTAAGTAGCTTTTTTGTGGTAGTCTGTAGGCTTTCCCAGAGCACCATGAACCAGTGGCACAGAGAATTGGCCAGTGTTTTATGCAGCATCACCCCCCGACCGGCCCCAGTTAGTGGCAGGGCCAGGACCAGAACTGCATCTCTCTTCTGATCTCTCTGCACACCCTTCGGCCTCTACTACAAGTATTCTTTCAAGGATAACTCTCAGTATTGAAGATAGGGAAACCAAGGTATTAGAAAGATTCTTATAGTTATTAAAACTTAAGTAAGTGCTAAGTAAGTAAAGAAAGAGGTTGTGTCTTTTTTAAAAAGAAGTTTTTGCCTTAGGGCATGTGCACTTGCAGGAGTGATAGAGACTAAGAGGGAAAGCAAGAAATCATCCCCCAGGGGGAATGGCCATGCTGCAATCCCTTTTCCTTCATTCTATTCTCTGGATCTTGGGCGGGGGATGGCCATATCACAATCCCGTCTCCATTCTCCTGGGATCTTGGGCACACTCGCCTCTGTGACTGGCGTGAGTTTCAAGCCACTGGGTCTGAGATTTGAACCACTTTTGGCTATGTGGAAGTCTAATATCTTAACCACTGTGCCATCTGCTGGCCCAAAAAAGAGGCTCTTAAAGTGGTCTGTGCCAGTGACCTTGGGTAGAAAATATAATAACCATAGTATA